AAGTTGTCTAGAGAGTTTTTATATCAAGAACTCTTCCGGATTTCCCTGCAACTTAAGCCTCGTGCACTTCTCAAAACGCACGGTCACTTGAATTCCACTGAAAAGCTCTTACCGGAAACCCATAGAGCAATCTTGCAAGCTGCTTTCACATGTACATCGCATTTTTATACGTTACCCCGACAATTTCACCGACTACCCTTGAAAATTTTTCCTGCACGCTCGACGCGGCCAAAAATATTCTACCTCCGATACCGAGCTGCGTAAACAAGCGAAATTTTCTACTTAAAAACTTGTAGATAAGATAGACCCGTTTGGGTGAAAATTTGATCGATATTTATAATTATTTTTGTTGTTAATGCAACAGAATGTTTAAAATATACGGGATACGTTTTCTTTTTTCCTACTATTTTCTTATTTCAGAAGTTTCATTTAGAACAAGAATGTGAAATTTTAACTAACAATGTGTTATATTTCCGGAAACGAACACTTTAAACTTTTGGAGCTCTTCATAATAGTGGAATAATTTATTTTTATATACTGTTCAAAAGCTTAAAATGAAAGTCCATGCATGACATGTAAATTTTTAACACTCGCAGAAATGTAAAATTCATTATTTCATTGCATTAACATCTACACGTACGGATATATGCAAAGCATGGTACAGTATACTGCCGTTAAAAGGAAAGAGGAAAACCTGTAATTTTTGCTTATACTTGAACGCAGTACTTTTATTTCTTAATGCTTTACCATATCATGCAAAGATACGTAATTTCGTGTAATTTAGCTCAAAAGCAGAATTCGATACTACTGATTAACATTTTTAAAAATTATTGATTAGAAAATTAATATTGTTATTAACGTCTTGCTGTAAAATATCTTTTTGCATTCTTTATGTAACTTATTTAGTACTTTGACACACTAGATGTCGATTGTTTACGCTTTTTAATCTAACATCTTCTGTTTCGATTACCTACGAATGAATAGCTTTGAGAATTTAATTAAATTTACTAGCATTTAGAGTTTCTGGCCACTCCTTAATAGGATTATGAATTCATGAAAAGGACAGACGTAAGACCAGAATTTAAGATTATAGGCGGATTTTCTAGATTAAACGTCGGTGTTACGTCCTCGCCTAATTTCCTTACATGTTCCTGTGTAGCAAGTTTCTACACAACATATACAAAATTTGGAAAATTAGTTTAAAAATACTCGTTAGCGACCTACATACTCAAACCATCAGCCGCTTTTTAAGGAAAGAAATTTAAATTTAGATGGCATATTGCGTTAACTATTGTGGAAGAAAGAGTATTTTTAAAGTCTTTCGTACAAATTATAACTTCTGTAATCTTGAAACTTTCGCAACCTGTGAAAATTTTCATATTTTACTAACTTCAGCGAAATTTATAATATTCCCAAATTTCGCAGCAAATATTGATATTTCTATCGCGTTTTAAAAATAATGGCAAACTTGGGAATGATTCGCTCGACTGTTTATGAAACAATTTTATGTATATAATTTCCTCACAAATCGTTAAAGCAGTAAACGTGCATAAGCGGTAACATCAATTATTTAACAAACGTATGCATATGTGTTCGTTAATTAAAAGTTGCTGATACGTATGAAATCTTGCAAGACTAATCTCCCAATTTATTCCTGAAAATCACATTCATATATGTGATATTTATATAGGATAGAACACGGATAGCGGATTTCAATCACTTTGAAATATGTTGTCAAGGTTAATTTCCTGGCTCTTGTATACACTCGTTCATAAATACTAGAACACCTGGTGATCTCATACAAAACATGGTAACTGAACTAAATTATCGCATAAACGATTAATCGATCAAAATTTTGCATTCATGCAACGATTCATTATAGTTGTTCGTTATAATCTAAGTTACTCCTTCATTCATTATAGTTTAAGACATCTATTCATTCATTAAGATTACCGTTTATTATAATTTAAGGTTTCACACGAGGCATTAAATTTTTAAATCTTTATCAATTTCTTAATGACACTTCCAACTTTCAGAGTGTTATAATACATGTAACTAAGAATATATATTTGATTCTACACTTGAATATCGATTAACACATTCATTTTTGATGCATATAGCGTTTTAGAGAGGAAAGGTTTTAAAATTTAATATATTTCTTAACCAATTCCACGTGAAATCTGCTTTTCATTTGATTTCGGGATTAAATATGTGTTTGTATCACTTTTCCGGACATTTACAGAATATTAATAACATTAATTATATATGCAGACTAATATTAACAAAATTAAACTAACATAACAACTGGACTAATATTACTGTTTCCCTTTACAAAACATAATGGATTTCATATCTATTTTTAAGAATCTTCTATTTTTAAGAATACCTTCGAATCCACCAAATTATTTTTTTCCTTCAACTACTCTATATTAAAATACATTTTCTAAGCCAGAGAATTAAACAAAAATAGATTCATCATATTCTTTTCGCGTGATCCTCATTTATTTCTAACTTTTTAAGTCTTTCGTTGAAATACACAGAAAGAAGAACGTAATAATCGCATTAGTAACATTGCACAAACGAATAAAAACGACGCACCATGTGCGTCGGTAGCAAGGAAAGTCTTAATATTAACAATGTAAAGACCTTGTTCGTAATTCGTTTCCTTATTAAACGCAATATATTTACGTTCGGATCGAGCACGTTTCTCGAATCCGTTCAAGTAACGTAAAAAGGTATCCATTAGGAAGAAGATTGATACGTTAAGAAAGAAAGCGGGTTAGCGTCTAATTCGAAAGCAGTCGAGCTCGTTCCTTTCGGGTCCCTTTCCCATCAAATCCCCGGCACCGACGTTACAGGAATTCGTTCGGCTTCTGCAGTCGCGGTAATTTCATTTCGTTCACACCGGCTCTATTCGCAGGCTGCCATCGTGTTCGTTGACTCGTACGTATTACTCCGTGGTCTACAGAATTGTTTTTACGAAATTGACTTTTCCCTCGGCCTTCGGGCATAAAGCGGCCAAGGAAAGAAAATCTATTGGCGTTCCGTTTAATGCTCGTCCTCCGCGACGCTTTCCACTTCGGCTACCACCGTTTATTACATTTCAATATTCCGATGTGGTTTAATCACATTACCGAACTTCGAACCGAACAGAAATTTGTAGAAAATACTTTTTGGATAATCTCCTGTAACCATTAGCATATGATAACGCAAACCAGCGCGAGCAACGGGAAAAAACGAGAAATGAAAAGGAAAAGAAAGGAGAGCGCGAGCGTTAATGGCCTGATCTGATGAGGCTCGATGACAAACTCTGCATTACATACACATTCTCTTGCACTTTAATGTGCATTAGTGCTTTCGCGTGATTATTCTCGATCGATCTATTATCCTTTAGCAATAGCAAGTTTTATTTCGATATGTTCAACTGGAACCTCGAATTCGTTATTTCAACTATCTTTATTCATTGCTGAATTATTTCGTAACTGTTGAACTGAAAAATAATTTCTCATGTTCCACATTTTCGTTGTTATTGTGCATATTAAATATGGTAGTTTAAGAAATTATGACCCGGATTCCTTTGCACAATAATTTATTGACTAATAATAGTGAACTGAGACAAGTGACAGGTTGTGGATTATAGACTTTAGATTCTTTGATTTTACGTCAAAAGGAATAATCAGTTAGCTTGTAATTTATACAATTAGTTCGTATTTCGCAACTACTAGCAAAGAAATATTTATATGATATATATTATTAATCTTTTATTATTTTTTATTTTATTTTATTAATATTTATTTAATATTTGATATTTTATCACTATTTTCATTAATTTTTTATTATTATTGTATCATTAATCTTTTCAAACTCATGATTAATGTCTATTTACTTATATATCATTAATATATATTTCTTAAGGTAATTATTTTATCGTAGAAATTTATTCTACAATCGATTTAGGGGTAGTTTAGAATCAATATAGCAGTAGTTCGATGTGCATAATCTGAGCTGTTCACGAATACGCTTAAAGGAATTAGATATGGCAAGTTTGAAATGTCATCATCCTATGTGTCTCTCCATTGATCATTTCATCGTCAGCTTCTGATGATACCAGCGGAATGCCTAGTACATATTTGATTTTCGTATGCATCGCGTTCGTAGTCGATAACACACAGTAGTTCTATCGACATGAAAATCTACCAATTACCGCTTCTATCGACGAACGCAATATCTATTCATTAAGTTTCAAGCTTTTCCAATAGACACGCAGTACGGTCGTACAACCAGCTTCTGCATTTGTCAGTTTCGATTCAGTATAACTCGCATCAAATCTATTTGTTAGAAACGGATTGTTCTATATAAATCATTGTACAAATTAATGAACAGAGGAAACGTTCAATTAAATTAAATCAAAGTATTATAAATTATTTTACGACATGTCGCTGTCGTCTGTCGTTGAAGTTTCAAAATAGTCTGTTTTTAATTTTAAAGTAATACTATCATGAAATTTTCCACCAATAGATTATATAACAGATAGTATAAAACGAAACGCGGGAGATTCACGTAAAGGTTTATACAACCTACGCTATTTTCAAAAAATGAATGGGAACAATACATAAAGGTCTGTAGTGACATTTTGATCAAAGTTGAATTAACAGTAAAGTACGGTTTTACATTCGCTGTAGATGGTTTTAGTGTGTGCAAGTTGCATATATTTCATCAGAAGATGATGTTGAACGCAAGAAGCAACACGCTAGATATTTGGAAGTTATGGAGTAGTATTTTAAAAATTTAATTTAAAAACCAAAATCCAAAATATGCGAAATGTATTTTAAAGCCTTATTCATTTCCGTTTAATTTCCTGAAATCCAAAAGGCCGTTCAGTCAACTCATCACACCCACAACAACCAGTTTAGATGACAAGTACACACAATAACCGCAAACCACGAGACAAGACAACATAATAACATTGCGCGTAACGTGCATGCGCATGTGTGTTCCAGTGACCTCGGAGAACGGAAGCGAAGCTCCTACAGCCATCTATTTGACGATGCTGATGCTGTGTATGCTCCAGCTGTTCCTGAGATAGTCACGATACGCCTGAGGCCACGGAAAGGGAGTCCATGGGCGCCGCACCATAAACAGCGCACTAGTCAAAAGGAGGAGCAGAAGGAAAGGAAAAGACAGCAGTTTAAGGGCTGACCGAATCGGTGGCGGGAAACCAAATAATAATATTGTTGAATCGGCATTGGTATCACGTGTTTTTTAGCGTATTCGGTTCGGTTTCGTTCAAAGAGGAATCGAATACCATCGCTTTCATTGTTACATTCTACGTCGTATGTCCCCGATTAAAAATCGTTCATCGAGATCGTGACGATGCAGGACACTACACGGTTTATTGATACGCTTATCTCGACTTATCGGATAATACCATCTCGATTTATTCGAGAGCGACGCGACGTCGTGAACCGGTTCTCGATTCGAAGTATCATAGAGAAGGGCTGATATTCAATTTAATAGCACAGAATGAGATCAGTAATTTTCGGTTTTCAATGTATCGATACTATTTTTTTTATATATTTAATGTATCGATATTAGGATTACATCAGCGATTTACTGATAAGCACCATTTTGTAAAAAAAAGTATGATATATAGAATCTAGTATCGAAGAAACGATAGGAGTTTATGAGAATTTTATTATCATTTGATGAAAGTGAAAATAATATTAGAAGAAGTTATTGGATACATAAAAGTCTGCAATTAAAGTCAGTTTAGTCCTGAACTGCAAATATCCATATTTTTGTCATTCATAAATTCCTCGTTAGATTATAATCATGAAATAAAAATTCAGAATTTTAAAGATCACTAGTTTGTACAGTCAAACTCCATTTATCCCAGCTCATTAGGCAACATCATAATTGATACAATATTTCCCATTTATAATTTGTCATTCCTATAATAATAATTCATTTTTCCTCCAATTCCCACTAGATAAAGTTCCGTTCGAATAAATAAAACCGCTGTACCTTTATAGTTAAGGATTACATTTAACGTATATATAATATGAATATAAGTACATCAAGATTAGTCTAATATCACATACCGTGCTATTAAATGGACAACAGCCTTAACACACGCACGAGCTCCTCGTAATGAAAAGACAGTTATAATGTAATTCGTGTTCGATCGACAAATGCTCAAACAAATTCCGCGTCCGATAAGTAACGAACAACCAATTGATCGTTCGAGGACAAGGTCGAGAGTGGCTTTGAAGTGAAAATCTTTTGCTTGCGTATCGCGTTTCCGCTTCAAAGGATCCCTGTCACAGATATTCTATTCCGGTTTCCATCACGAACGTTGCAAAAAGAACACGTAATTGACGACGAGACATAGAGAGCCTGATTGGTGAAATATAAGGTTCCAAACAAGGTATAGTGGTACAGGAAAATATTTGAACACTTATAGAAACCTTTTATAAATATGTTGTATGCATTGTGTAAAACGATTTGAAATTTCATTAATACTATATTGAGACACGAATGTCATTATTATAGTGAGTACGAAACCAATTTACAAAATATATGTAGAAGTTACAATACATTTGCTGTAAAAATATATAGGGTGGTTGGTAACGAAAAAAGAAGTTGAAAATATAGAATAAAAATTTTTTTTTTTATTTTTTTTTTTTTAATTTTTCCATAACGATAACGATCTACAGTGAAATCCGTTATAACGTACCGACGAAAAATTTTTATTCTATATTTTCGATTTCCTTTTTCGCGTAGAATCACCCCCTTTCTGCTTGTACCACCAGTTACTAACCACCCTGTATTTAGTTAAAAATTAGTATATAGCATGAATAATCACCTTCGAAACATAATAAGTGTTAAAGATGATAACTAAATACCGAAGCTTGTTAATAAAATGGATAATTGACTATTTAAATACTTTTATGGACTTCGCAAAACATATATTTACACTAATTATCTTGTATCTTCTACGTAAATTTTTTCATTTGTTCCTAACTTTTCCAATATAATTATGACAGCCGTGTCTCACTATAGTACTAATAAAATTTCGAAACGTTTCGTACGACACACATAATTCACGTAATTTACATAATTCACGCGTATTCATAAAAGGATTCTACAATTTATCGAATACTTTTATGAACCACTGTAGAAATGGTGTTCAAGCACTACATCATCCTATTTCGTCCTTCGATGAGGGAGGACAGACACGATCGGATGTCCTGCCATTATTCCACCTAAAGATGTGTGTCATGCCGCGCTCTACGTCATTCTATCGTGTTTATTGAACCATTGTCCGTAGACCAGGTGAAGGACCGGAGATGGATGCTATGATTTTGATGCGAAGGACTAGTCAAGTGGCGCTCGCCAGACTCCTAACTTTTCCTTTCCCTCTTCTCTCTTGCGTGTCCCACGTAGCACAGAAAATGCCACCTACCTTCGTTTCACGTCGTAACCATGCTTCCATGCGAAAATATTCGCAGTACAAGGTATTCACGAGAGGAACACGCGCGTACAATTACACACATGTTTGTTGATATCGTGCAATGTGTGTATGTGTGTGAGAGAGAGAGGTATTTTGGGTAATGTGTAATAATCGAGGTAATTGATGTGGTACAGGGAGCTAGGTCTTAGTTTGATTTATTTCTGGGAATATTTTATGTGATGTTATTGATTTGTTATATGGATTGATTGAAAATTGCATTTTGGATACATTGGAGAAGGTCTGTGTTAATTGTTTTACAGTTTATAATAGTACTTTATACTTGAATACTTTGATTTCTCGATGAATTGTGAGAATAAAATTTCATGTTATACGATTAAAGGACCTGATTAAGGGATCTGTTACAAATGTTATAAGAGACAATTACAAATATTATACAGATGTGTTAGGAATAGCCGGCGATAAGTAACTCAGAACTACAAATTTTTAAATACAGCGTAAAAATTATTAATAAAAGATGTTAAAATGATTAAAATTATTTCAAGCTTCTAGAAATGGAAATACGTTTTGTTTAAGAAAAATACAGGATTCTCTTTTGCGTCTAATATCTAGTGTTGATTTTACATTTTCGCTTTTGGATAGCGAAATGTAGGAAAAATATATATTTGTTTATAGAATGCCTATCATTCTTCTTAAATTAAAATTTTGTTACGTTCAAAATATCTTCTCCCTTTATCTTTCTAGTATCTTTTAATCGCTAATCTTAATATTAATATACAGTATTTTAAGGGGAAATTATATTTCGTTTAAAAAAACATCATTTTCTATGTTCATTAGTATAATATTTCTTCCTGCCAAGCAATATATATTTACATCTATTTCCAATTTTTGCCTTCAAAAAAATTTCCAATCAATCTATATATCGTTATTGTCAAGCGCGAAATAAAGCGGTTTTTACAAATATTATAAGATCTCACTAATATTTGCGATTTACGCTATAAATATTTCTTCAATTTTAACAGGGAAGCGAATATACCAAATGATAAAGTTACTTAAAATCCTGTATAATACTAGATATAGAACATAGAAACTAACGAACAAAAGATAATTAAACGAAACAAAAGCGTAATTATAAATCACACTGAAAGTTGCGCCAAGTATCGCGTAATGGTTATACCAAACGAAGAATTGTTACAATATGGAATGGACCGTGAGACAAGGTTTGAAAAGTAGCCCAAAAAACGCAATATTTTTTTATATACCTTTCGGTGCGTTTGCTCGAATATTTTCCGCTTGCCAACGTATAAGTTGTATCAACAATCAAGAGCTTTCGTTTCATGCAAAATGTTTCGCAAAATACGGAAATTTGAATATACAGTGACTCTCGAAAATATTTGAACACTTATTATGGAAAACTTTATGTGTATAAAACATTTTGATACTTCATTGACACGATGATAAGACGCGATTGCTATGATTATATTACTAAACTTTGAAACCGATCTGAAAATATATATAGAAGCTACAAGATATTTATTATGAACATATATTCAATAAAAAAAATTAGCATACAGCATGAATAGCTAACTCGAACGTGCAATAAGTATCAAGAAAAGATAGTCCCATTGAGTATCAAGGCTTATTAATATAATGTGAACAAATGACTGTTTAAACACTTTAGTGGCGTTTGCTAATGAAATTTTAAAATGTTTCGTGCAACGCATATGGAATGTTCATAGATGTCTACAAGTGTTTCAATAGTTTTCGAGTCACCGTAAGAAGGGCCGGATCGATAATTTGATTGTAGAAAAGGAAGCGGAATTTCAAGGCTGAAGTAGAGACACAACCCCCTCCTACATGTCTCCTTTTTATTAAAGAAAGTCTAAAATTGCTGAAGGATTCCATGCGTCTGTAAAGCGTCCACGTGCCGCGTGTTTCTCCAGTTTGCGGATAGGAAAATCGTTCGTGTTATTCCATAGACATAAAAAACGCTCCTTTTTACCTACGTGCATATGTAACCAGGCCGGATCTTCGGCAAACTTCACCAAGCATTTACGCGGGATGTCGATGTAAAAAGGAGAACCGGTATACACAAGGATAAGGCGAAAGAGAGTTTTTTATTCTTCGAGAGCAAATGTATTGACAACAGCCAAAGCTACGCGTATGTAGTGTCAAGCAAGATGAATTGACGTTAAGCATGTAAATTCTCAACTGTATATAAAGCATTGGAAGAATGTAGCGCGGTCGACAAAGGTATCGTGAAAATTGATGGCAGGGGTACGCGTCAAAATTTTTCATAGAGAAAATATACTTGCGTTTTCTTAGAAATTTCCATAGATGATCACGGGCGTATGTATTTTAATAACTTTTGGAAATTTTTGGTTCGAAAGTCGCAGAGGAATATGTGTAATCGTATACTGTGTTTCGTAAGTATAAAATCACCTAAAGACCCTCAACTTTTATATCGTCCTCTGGTGGTAACGTAATAAGGTAACGAAACGTACTATGTTTGAAATCGTACTGAAAAATAATGTAATTTTTTCTCCAGGGAAAGGTATATTACGTCTCTCTGTAAAGGAAAATGATTATTTCACTGGAAAACTAGGTTATTCTCGTTTTATAAGTATAGAACCAAAAAAAAAAAAAAAAAAATATTGAAGTCAAGATATCAGACACATAAAATGAAATTGTAACATTGTTAGTAAGTATGGATACCTCTCCATATCCAATAAGTGTTATTGTTCGATTTTGAACACTTCTTGTCAGATCTTGTCGTATTGTACCTTATACTTTATACACATATAGGAATCGAAGAATTGGCAATACTGAAATGGTTTTACAAATCATTTGTTATGAGTCACAGTATAGATGGAGCATCTATTTTTTAGCGACTTGTATAGCGAAAAATTTACTTGTTTCGCTTGTTTTATCAGGAGAAAAAGGTTAGTCGCCGGATAGAGCGTATTGCGAGTGAAATACATCGGATAAAATGATCCTTTTTATATTAACCGACAACGCGGCGTTGTGCTTACACCGTGCGCCATTTCATAAATTCTGTTCTCGTTTGTACACAATTGTATCTTTCGTCTACCGGCCGTATCCCCGGTACCGGTCGGGGGTTACAAACGTACACGACTCTGTATAGGGTTTCCGGTAGATCCCAGCGTAAACTTAACTGGTAGATATTTTTCCGTGTGCAAGAACACGGTTGGAAAAAAGTGAAGAATAAATTTTTGTAACTGTACATGCGGCTTTCGAAAGAGATGATGGCGAACGCGAAGCAACTATGGATTTAACGGAAACAATGGATAAAATTTGTAGAATAGATATACCAGAAAAATACTCCGATGTACGATCAGCTTACGAAGAAGTAATGCTACAATGTTGTAACGAATAGCTGCCATGTTACATATTTGAAACGAAAAGTGAAACTTTACATTGTAAAATTTCGTTGGAAATATCATTTATACTGAACAAAAAAAAAGAGAAGAGAAAAATCAAATACTCGCGTTTGACATTCAATCAACGTCTTAAAATACCAAAGAGATATTTGTTTTTGCATTTTTATTACGTAAAACGCGTTATTTTTTCTTTTCCTTTTTTTTTAGCGTAAAAAATTACTTTAACATGGTTGTATGTATTATAAGGAAGAAAGATCTAACGGTTTCGATTAAAACTGCCATTATTCATAACCTGAATGATATATTTCCAGTGAAGAAGTTAACGCATTTCGTGTTGTATCTATTATTTCCGAAATTTGCTTAATCGTCGATGAAACTTCCTGTATTTCCATTTAAAAGATCTAGAAAAATTTCCAGAATTGAAAAAGTATTTAATATTGATATAAAAAAGATGTACTTTTATCGAAATCGGCGATTAAGTGACAATACAAG